CACCCCTGGGCCCACCCCATCTGAGGTTCCTCCCTTGGCCACACCCCTGGGCCTGCCCTGCCTGCAGAGCTGTGCAGGTCCCATGCCCTCTGTCTGCCCTCGGCCTCCCATGACTCCCCATTACCCAGAGGCTACTGCTGTGCCGCCCAGCCCGCCTCCCGCACCTTTGCAGAGCGAGCCAGTTCCTGCTTTCAGGACATTGACCCACGTGGCCCCCTTCCTGAGGGATAGGGCTGTTTAATGAGAGTTAGTAACGATCTGTCAAACATCTGCCAGGTTTCTGCTAAGCCTCGGGCAGGCCTGGTTTTACTTACCTTCCCTACAGGCTTTTCGGGTCACTGCCATTGTTAATTATCCCCATGGACAGCGAGGGAACAGAAAAAATTACAGTGAACTTGCCAAAGGTCACACAGTCTAGTGCCAGATGACCTTCAGACCTATTAAAAGATCTGCTGGGCTTGACGAGGAGTGGGGGGCTGGGATTACCCTCTCGGGCAGTTGAACCAGAGACAGCACAGAGCTCCACAGAGAAACCCTCTAGCACTGTGGCCTGCGCTTCCCCAATTGGAACACGTCTGAGAGGCCCCGGAGACCTTATTCAGCTTCTGTGTCAGCAAGCCAGGGACATTCTGCATTTCTAAGGAGCCCTGTGTGATGCCAGGCTGCTGGCCCATGGACCAACTTTGAATAATGAGGCTTGATCTCAGCAAATCTCTCCTAGAATGCAGACAGAGAGTTACACCTCTGTTTGCATAAAAAGTCCTCCTCTATGTGAATTTCATATTTTATAAACTCATTGTTTGCTGGGGATCGGTGGGGCATGCCTGTCATCCCAGCAGCTCGGGAGGCTGAGGCAGGAGGATCTCGAGTTCAAAGCCAGCCTCAGCAACTTAGTGAGACCCTGAGCAACTCAGACCCTGTCTCTAAATAAAGTACAAAATAGGGCTGGGGATATGGCTCAGTGGCACCTTGGTGGCTCGGTAACACCTCCTTGACGTCTCATTTTATACCTGGAGAAACTCAAGACACAGCCGAAGTGGCTCAGCTGAACAGCCCTGTGGGGAGGGGCTCCAAAGAGAAGAGGGCTTTGTCTAGGGGCCTCAAAAAATGCATAAGGTCATGCCCAGTGCATAGGGAGAAGAGATCCAGGCCAAGGAAGTGGAGTGTGCAGAAATCCAGAGGTCATTTCATTTCTGGAAATAATGGGCAGGTGTGATTTTTTTTTTTCCCAAAGCCATGTCTCCTCATAGTGACTGATCATGCGCCAGAACCTAGTCTCCCAGTTTGGGTGCTCACTCAATACAGTGCTGTGGACAACCTGACCCTTGAATTGGATTCAGGATCCCATCTCCTCTTTGTTGGGGGTCACTCTTTAGCCCCAGTTGAACTCCTTCTGCTCCCAACCCCTGAACCTTCCTTCTGCTTTGCTCCCCGACTCTAGGCAACATGAAACCACTGATGTTTTTTTTCTCTGACTTTCCATGCCCGGGATCTGTTTTATACATAAATAAATCAGAAAGAGATTGCCCTCCAAGTCACTGTCACACAACTCTAGCTTGTATCACATCAGAAGGAGAAGTGAGCCGGTGCTTCAGGAAACAGGTAGCGCAGGGGACAGCTCCTGTGTGTAGAGTCACTCCTAAGTACTAACGCTGATTCCCAATGGTTTTCCCTGAAGATCCAAAAGTGGCTTCTTATGTCCCCAGCACTTTGATGACTGGGTGTCTGCCTGGGGTAGGGAACCCAGCATCATGTTTTTGAGGCCACAGGGTGCTTTAGTTAGCTAAAGCACCAAAGGCTGGCAGAGCAAATATCTGCAGGCACCTGCTGCTCTCCCTTCCCACAGACTCCTGGACACTGCAGCTCTTTGCCTGGTTACCAAAGAAGCAGGAAATGGACTTCCTTCTTGATTGGAGTCTTTTTTTTTTTTTTCTTAATACCAGGAATTGAACCCAAAGGTGACTTAACCACTGAGCCACATCCCCATCCCTATTTTGTATTTTATTTAGACACAGGGTCTCACTGAGTTGCTTAGCGCCTCGCTAAGTTGTGGAGGCTGGTTTTGAACTCCCGATCCTCCTGCCTCAGCCTCCCGAGCCCCTGGGATGACAGGAATGCGCCAGGCTGGACTCCATTTTTCACTGTGCCTGCCAGAGTGGCTCTCCTCCCGGAGAGGGACACCTGATGGATTCGTGAACACTATGATTTCATAGCATGTTGCAAGAATAGTCACTGGCCTCAAAGAGTCTTGCAGATTTGGGTCGCGATGGAAGAACGCTGCGCAGCAAGCTGTCTGGCCCGCGGGCGGCTGTCCATGGTGCTGAGTGCCCTTCCGTGGGGCTGTAACAGGAGCCCGGCAATCCTGCGTCTCCAGGCCTCAGCCTTCTTTCTTCTTACCCTTTCAGCTATCTCGATGGAGGCCTTATGAAGCTGGCACCCTCGCTGGGAAAATACAGATCTCTGCTTCGTGCTCACGGCTTCCATGATGGATTTTGTGCAGGGTGGTTAGTGTTGGCCACTTGTGGGTTTTGAAGGTCACGAGAATTGAGTGCAGGCTTGACCTTCATGCTCACAGCTCCTCCAGTCAACAGCTCTGATGAGGGGGGCTCAGGCGACCCAGGAAATCTCATCTCCAGTCCTCAACCCCCCCTCAATATTTGTCTGCGACTCCTGAATTTCATAACTCATACAAGACTTCACGGATTCCCTGTGTAGAGACAAGGGGAGAAGAGAAAATATTCCTCCTTCTGTATCACAGTGGGGGAGACTTGGGGTTTTGTTTTGTTTTGTTTTGGGGATACCAGGGTTTGAACCAGGGGCACTTGACCCCTGAGCCCCATCCCCAGCCCTATTTTGTATTTTATTTAGAGACAGGGTCTCACTGAGTTGCTTAGGGCCTCGCTTTTGCTGAGGCTGGCTCTGAACTCATGATCCTCCTGCCTCAGCCTCCCTAACCACTGGGATGACTGGCGTGGGCCACCATGCCTGGCTTGAGACTTGATTTCTTTCTTCTCTCCTAACACAAATTCAGGAAGGCATTATGGCTTTGGGAGTAGGGCCTGCAGACCTTGTTTTTATGCAAGACTTGCTGTCCTGACTCTGGCCAAGCCACTGATCCACAGTGAGCCTCAGTTGCTTTGTCTGTAAAATGAGGTCATTTCCTCACCTTTCACAACGGCTCTGACGTCCAAGTGGGATAAAGTCTAGAAAGCACCAAGTGCAAGGCCTGTTGCAGATGCTGCCCCTTCTTCCTCATGAAGACCCCCATTCTACTCTGAGAATCACCCAATTCTGGCTCTTCCAATTTCCAACAGCCTGCGGGTGCCTCTGGGATGTCTAAAAATAGCCAGATCGCATCCTCCTCAGACCGTCAGCCTCTTTGTGTGATTCAGTCTCTTGCTGATGCTAGGTAGCGAGGTGGCCGGGAGCGGCTTCCAGCTCTCTGCGGTTCCTCGTCAACAGCATTTTAATGCACTCGAACTTGGCCTAATTACTCGGGGGGGGGGTGGCCTCTTTCAAACCCAGGAGGACTCCCCACGCCTGCCTCTGAGCGGATGCCTGCTGACATTTCTCTCATTTTGGGGAAGCCCCAGAACAAAGAGATGAGAGGACTTCAGAGGGACTGGCCACTGGTTCTGGGCTGTTCTTCGTCTGCCCCTTGCCTCTTGCAAGTAAAAAGCCTGGGCAGCTGAGGTCACACCCTGTCCCCGCTGGCCCACCAGGGAGCTGGTAGTGTCAGAATGTGGGGCACGGGCTTCTGCAAGCCTCACTCTTGGGCATGGGGTCTTTGGAGCCCCAGCATGTTAGGGTTGGGCAGCCCCCTGTAGGTGGGAAATGAGGATGTGGTGTCCAAAGAGATGGGGGTCACATCCCAATTCTGCCCCCTACTGGCTGGGTGACCTGGTAGAGTGATCAGATCTTGCTAGGTCTCCGGGGCTCTGCGTGAACCACAGGATCACAGTATCCCGTCAACCTCAGAGGTTGTTGCAGAGATTAACTGAGATATAGTGGAGCACGCTCAGCACCAAGGAACAGCTGTTAGGGTTTTCATTATTGTTCAGCTTCAGTGAGGGCTGGTCACTGGGAAGATGCCACTCAGGGCCACTGGTATTGCCCAGGGCTTATGGAGGGCACAACCCCAGGAGGACTAGGCTCTGAACTTGGTGAAGGATTTTCCTTAGGAATTGCAAATGCTCAGGATCCAAGATGGTGTCAGTTGGGTTTCCCCAGATGCAAGGACGCAAGCCTTAGGTGACCCTGGGAGATGATGTCAGTGTGCACCTGTAGGGGGACAGAGAAGGGGCCAGGAGAAGAAGGAAGGCCACCACTGAGGAGAGCTGAAGCCTCATCCCCCTGCGGAGCCCTGGGAGGCAGATGTCCCACCTGAGGGGACAGCCGGCTGCCATCTCTATGCCTCAGCTCCCAACCATGAGCTGAGGGTGGA